GAGTCAGAGGTAATAACATATTTCATTTCAGCAGCATTACATGGCCAAAACACACATTAGACGGCAATCGGAAGTTATTACAAACACTCGATGGTGGTTTAAAGTGAGTTTTGAGTAAAAGCGGAATATAAATCTTATTTATTATCTTATGTAGCATGATGCTGCAGTTTGCATGAATGGCCACATAACACGCGCTTTCGGTCGTGTAGTATGAACGGACAACTGCATATGATCGGAACTCCACGCAGCTCCCGCGCTACTCTCCATTGGAAATGAATGACTGAATGACCGGTCTGCCGCCTGTTGTTTGTCGGAGATAGTGGAAAGCCGGCTTGAAACGCCAGTATGACGAGGATCGTTTTCCTTTAAAAACATAAACGCACCAGTGTAAATGTAGCCTTATATCTAAGGGGGCTGGGACGCATTCGCACTACAGCTTCACGTGTGTGCCACATCTCTAAGTGTAACCGGTGTAAACTAGTAGGTGTGCTCGACTTGACGAGGACTGACTGTGCAGTGCAGACCGATCTGTGTATTACAGTACCACGAGAGCTAAAGAGAGCAGACTGCTCCGTGCGCTTTCGAATCGCTCTCGCGGATGTCAAACACTGATCGATCTGCACCGCACCATTTTTAGTCAAACACACCGGCTAGTGCTGCAGGCTTATTTGCTCACTGACGCTGATGAGATTAACCCCTTAGGTATCGAAATTTGGTACCGAACGACGAGACGTTTTTCGATACTCGATGTTATCGAGGCATTTCGGTCGGTGCATAAACAGTATCGGACTCGATACCCAGCCCTACTTGCAAATCTGCTTTTTTTGTCATGTAACTGCAAGTTACAAACTCACAATTGAGTTAACGGCAATTTTGCAAGATATCAACTCAAAATTGCAAGAGAATTCAGAATTGTGAGATACATTTTTTAAATTTTTATTCTGTGGCTAAAACAGGCTTCCACACATTTCACTATCTTGCTAAGGATCAATACGCAATATGCTGATATGCCATCGATTATTATTCTTTAGCCTGCTTAAAATTTCAAAACAAGTTCAATCTGTTTAATGAGTTAGGTTTAAACTGAAGTTGTTAGGGACATTTACCCATCGTCTCTGTGGTTTGGCTTGCGGCCACACGCAGTGAGGCCAGGCTGGTGTCAGATCTCGGAGAGGCAGTGGACGGGGAGGACAGGGCAGTGCCATTCACCTTGGACTCAGTCTGTGGCTAGGACATAGGTAGAAAGGAACCATATAGATTAGGCAGGGGACTGGACGCAAACATCAGCACTGGGTTGTACTTCTGTATTTCCAGATTCATTTGCAAACATTCAGTTATATATTTTCAATCTAAGATTTCACATTCTTTTACTGCCTAGTTTTTAAACCCTCTCCAAACATTTATTGACGAGTTACTGAATTTTTCCCCAAGGACTTTCTCAAAACATTAACAATTGCAGTAAAAAACAAGAGCAAGGGCTCTTAGAGTTGCTGTGTTTTTGCATCATTCAGTTTTTCAGAAACAAGACAGTCAAGACAAAACAATAACAACAAGGATAAACACAAAATAGTGGACTTGATGCCGCTAAAATATAGAAATAAAATAACCCAGACAGTTAACGTGTTCAAAAACATTCACAGATGTCACAAACCCCTTTAGCCAACATGTAAATTGTACATTCACTGTCATTCATTCAGGGCTGAATATTGTTAATATACTATATTATATAATATATTATTACAATAATATTAACACATTATATATCATAAACTTTTAACGTCTGTTTCATATGCATCCATTAATATAATAATATTGACTTATTATTTATTTCAAGTATTACTGTTAATTAGTTTACCATTCAAAGGTTTGGGACTGTAAGTCTCTTAGGTTCACCAAGGCTGCATTTCTTTCATACAAATCCAGTTAAAACAATAATATTGTGAAGTATTACAATTTAAAATAACTATACCTATTTTAATATATTTTACAGGTTTTATATATTTTTTCAGGATTCTTTGATGAACGTTTGATGAACAGAAAGACCATACTACATTTTTGATCAATTTAATGCATCCTTGATAAATACAAGTATTTAAATTCAATTGATTATTTTTTTAAAGTCTTCTTGGCTATATTATTTACTCGTGTATCTTATAATTGATACATAATTACAATTACAGTACAATCTGCTTTAATGATAAACTGGTTTGTCACTGCACAACTATTTAAAGTGTGCTTTAATGAGTGTGTGTTTAAAACTTCCACCATTAACAATTCATAACATAAGACCAAACAGCCCTCTTGAATAAAGAGGGATGGTTCTGGTGATTTCATTGGTCTTCCTTGAGATATTTGCCAAGCGAAACACATGCGCATATGTTAAACATAAGAACATGTTTATTAGCATATAACAGAGATAAAAAGTGAAGTAACTGATGCTACTAAAACAAGAACATACACTGGTAGGTAAAGGCTTGATTGTAAATGTAAAGAAAACTGAAGCTGAGGGTTATAAACAACAACAACAACAAAAAAAAGCATCAATGAAGTGAAGCCAAAATCCATTGGCTCTGAACAAAGTGAGAGCTAATTTATCTCCGTATCGAGTCTGGTTCTTCTAGCTTCGGCCAAGTCGGCCACTGGAAGGAGCTGGAGTCTAGTGAGATTTTAGTTCAAAGGGTCCACAGAGAACACATGAAGCCAATTCTTCAAGAACAAATCTGATATAAATCCATTTGGCAGAGACCCCCAGTCGACTAATGTTTTTTAGAAGTAAGCATCGAGACATACGCTTCATTCATCAAGACATGATGCAGACAGAATATCTGATTTCCCCTCTATTCAAGCAGAAGGAGACTGCTGAAGAGGTTGACATCAAACAAACTCCAAAAACAAATTACAGAGAGAAATGGGTTGCTTGAGGAAGAATGACAGGTCGCTCAAAATGTTCTTTAGGCCACCTAAAAGGTCTGGCATCCCTCCTCAGCTTTAATAAGGACAGGATCCACAATGCCTGTTGTGTGGCAAGTATGGTAGGAAAATATTCAACCTTCGTTGAAATATTCGGTATAAAGTATACTGCCAATAAGGACAGAAAAATTTTTTCATCTGACAAAAAAAAGTGTACATTTATGCACTATAGATCTTTTCATACTAAGACTAAACAATGCTTCTAAAAAATATATATAAAAAACCTATTCAAACCACGTCTGATCAAATAAACTGATTGAACAACACAACAAAACCAAACCCTTGAATGATTAGAGTACAACATTTTGGTATGAATGAGTCCATAAAGATGCATTTAATTTAAAATCCTGTCCATGTATTTCATGCTAAAAATGATTTGCCGTGAATATAGCTGTATACTTAACACAATCAATATCATTTTGGCTTGCACAGTGCTGTGGACTAAACGGAAATCATTCGGAGTAGTAGTTATTATACAGAACAGTGAATGCCAACAGGTGTCCTGCAAGGACAATTAACAGAGACGTCTGCATTCAAACAAAACAACAATATTCCATACTATAGTTCCAAGTCTTTGGTTTAAACATCTATGGGGAAAAAACTGCAATTTCCAAACGCAAAAGAAAGAAAACATCTTTGATGAGCAATTTTATTTTTAAAGCAACGCCTTCAATCCACACAGTTGCAGAAAAATCACATCTTTAAACAGATGAAACATTTCAGGAAGATTGTGTCAAATTAAATCTTAGACTCTTTAACAAATTCCTGGAACTTGCAACTGTACAAAATGCACATGTAGATGCAAATCCCAGCTCTTATACAAAACACTTTCTATATTCATCCTGACAGCATCTACATTTAGCATAAATACTTCCTTTAACAATTGTTAAACTGATAAAACTAATTCATATTTTAAACCTCTTGAGCTGCTTAAACGCCTCATTTTGGCCGAATTTTAAGGAAACATTACAGGTGTCCTTCATAGATCATATATAAAAAAGTGCCAGAATGCATTGCAATGAGTCAAGAGAAATATCAACTATAAATATACTTAATATATATTAATATACTGAAAAATATCGACTTTCCCAACAAATTTAATTATTTATAGAACTACAAATATGACAAACATTAAAAGCCAAAAGCTGACATTAAAATATACCAATGCTCTGGGCATTTCATTTCTTGTGTCAACAATCAAAGGAAGCACATGAACAGTGTTACATTCCACAGCTATGATTTGAAATACGCCTTGTCAATGATCAGTGTGCAATCCGAAGACATTTACTCGTAGCAAAGTTCAGACTTAAGGCAGGAGCTGACACAACTGCTCGAGTTCCTTCAACAACACTTCCAAAAGTTGTTTTTCACTGGCAGGGAGTATAAACATTGATCAAATCTTAAGGATATGTGCCACCCACCTGCTCAAGTAACTGTCTAAGGCGTCTGAGCTGTGATTCCAGCTGTTTGTTGTGATCCTCCAGGATTTGCATTCTTGCTTCCAAACGTCCCTTGTGCTGTCGCAGTAGTTTAGCTTCAGCGATCAGTTCAGCGTCGCGTGGACTCTGGGGTGAGACGGGCAGCATCTGTGGGGGTGAGGGCAACGGCGACAGACCCTTGTGGTCATGTGCCTTCTTCAGACGATCGTACTCTGCTTGCAACTTCCTGCACAACAGGGAAGACAACTTCAGAAAGAAGCCTAGAAAACAGCGACTTTAGAAAAAGGGCGAGTCTGACAAATAAATAAGCATGTGCTGTTAGCATAGACTGCTGGTTTTCTATGGCATAGTTGGCAGACCATGCAGCAAAATGCACTATTGTTCAAATATCTGGATGCATTAAATTGAACAAAAGTAACATTAAAGACTTTTTTTTTTTTATTATATTCAAAGAATCCAAAAAAAAAAAAAAAGCATCACCGTTTCCACAAAAATATTAAGCAGCACAATCGTTTTCAACATTGATAATAATAATAAATGCTAGCAAATCAGCATTTTAGAATGATTTCTTAAGGATAATGATGAAAGTAACGGCAGCTGAAAATTCCGATTGCCATCACAGAAATAAAATCAATTTTAAAATGTTAAAATAGCAAACAGTTATTTTAAATTATAATAATTTGTACACAATATTACTTTTTATTGTATTTTTAATTGAATAAATGCAGCCTTGGACAGCATAAGAGACCTTATCGACCCCAAACTTTTGAAGGGTACTGTATATCTTTTTAAATATTGCTAATGTGTTTTAGGGTTAGAAAATGCATATTTGAAACAATATTAAATCTGTTTGATTATTTCTGCTTTCTCATCTACTCACAATTTTAATATAGCTCACTGTGTGTAATATTAGACTCAAATGCGTAGCCCACGTACTTGACTCAGCAGCGTGGGAAGATTTGTGTGTGCTAGGTAGTTCTTGGATGGTCAGATGCTTTTGAGCAAATTTGAAAACCACTTATTCAAAGCACAATCAAATACTTAAATCGATTAATATTCTAAAATGCAGATGAGCTCATATAGAAAAAAGATATAGAGGCATTTTCATCTCTGTTGTGAAAGCTGATCAGCCTGTTTATTTACTATGCTCAATTATGGTTAGCTGCATTTTATTATTATCATGGTAGCATTTTAATATAGGGACCAATTTTTTTCTATCAACTAGTTGCTTACTAGCATGCCTATTATTAACATACTGGCTGTTTATTAGTACTTATAAAGCACATATTCTGCATGACCATATTCTACATCCCTAATCTTAACAACTACCTTGCTATTAATAAGCACCAAATTAGGAGTTTAGGCAAAAGTCGTATTTAATGGTTTGTTAATAGTGAGAATTGGACCTTATAATTAAGTGTGACCATTTTCATTAAGCATTTCCTGAAAACATTTACAGTTGGTGACCAACTTTGAGAATCACTAATTTAATGCAAGATACTTAAAACATGTGATTTTCAAAAATTGCTGTGCAAGTATATAAGTGGGGAGAGCTGTTTTAATATGAATTTCTGAAAATGTAGTGTGTCATCCCAGACATATGCTAACGAAATACAGTCCAGTGTACACCCATCCTATTTCATAAAAAAAAAAACAATCATTTGAATTGTAAAGGAAATGGATATGCAATCAAACCTGTTTTCCTGCTCCAGATCGTTGAGCACTCTCTCAAGCTCTCCCTTCTCTTCAGTCTCCATTGAGATGAGGATCTGAGCGGGGCTCTGCGGCTGACTGAGAGGAGAGCCTTGATTCAGACTCTGGCAGTAGTGCTGGATCAGCAGATGCTCATCATCCCTACAATAACAACAACAACACTCCATTTCCAGTTCACTACATCACATCCATTGCTCAAGATTTCAATGATCATTTGCTGCCTTAAACTCCTAATAACTGAAAAATACATCCGCTCGATTGACTTGTGAGCAGTAAGCTGGTCTAAAAACAATCCTATTGTTTTAATACCACAAAAAAAACTGCTGCATAAGAGCATTTACACGTAATCGTTTTATAATAATTCAATCTGAGCGTACTGGGAACATTATATGGGTTCATTACTGATCTCCACTGCTTTGTGTATGGGTGGAAAGAGCTTAGATGAGAAATTTATTATAAAATGGAAATTAATCTGAAATGACATGACTTTTAGAGGAACTCTTCCTATGATAAGCACTTTCATAAACACATTAGCCCATTTTTAAGTTCAAGAGGAAATGTTTTTAGGCAACCACAAGCAGTTAAAAGTACGCAAGGTGTAAGTAGGTCAGTTTTAGGTTCTACAAACTATTAGATTGACTTACGGTATAATACTATGTACAGTAGAGTGTAAAAGAGTTGCAAGCTCACATGCTTTCACTAGGCGATACATTGTCATTCACATACGAGCCATTTCGGTTCTCCATTTCAGCTAGCCTGTGAAAACACAATATCATTCTGTATTCATTCATGAACAGCTCATGCATTTGCATTCGCTCACGTCAGTAAGGCACCACTGTTCCAACTTACATGCTTAACATTAACGCAAATGCATTTTTTCTTTTGTTACTAAACAAACATTCTGTTATCAGGTTAAAATGCACATTTCAAACCCTTGAAAATATATAAATCATGGTATAAATGGTACAGCAACATTTCCACTGTATGACACATTTGTACCATTGCACGGTATACACCGTCACATTACCTAGCCCTAATGCAATGCAAGTCTGGCCTCTTAAATATACAGTTACACAGCAACACCAAAATAACCATGCTTAAAAAAGACCGACCTGCTAGCGTAATGCTCGATGCGTGAGTGGGTGTCGTCATGGGAGAGTTGGGGGGAAGATGATGGCCTACCAGTGACAGAAGAGCAAAGGTCAGAAAACACGGATGAACTAAATATATCAATATTATATTATAGAGGAAGAGCATTTTATTTAACTCTGAGCATTACTATACAAATTAAACAGGGTTGCAATATATACGATAGAATCAAATATAAGGATATAAAAAAATAACATTAATCAGGAATTACTTTAAGTAATTTTAGTGACATACCTTTTTCACAATATTTGAAGCTAAATATATGCAAATAAACAATATAATGTTCAACATATATATATATATATATTTTATTTTTTTTTTATTTTTATTTTTTTCTCTAATTTTCTTCTTCTTATGTTTTTATTATCAATGTTAAAAACAATTGTGCTGCTTAATATTTTTGAAGAAACCGTGACTTTTTTTTTAAGGATTCTTAGATGAATCCCAAGTTTAAAGGGGTCATATGATGCGATTTAAATTTTTCCTTTCTCTTTGGAGTGTTACAAGCTCTTGGTGCATAAAGAAGATCTGTAAAGTTGCAAAGACTAAAGTCTCAAATTCAAAGAGATATTCTTTATAAAATTTAAGAGTCAGCCACGCCTACCTAAAACGGCTCGTTCTAACACGCCCCCACATATCTACATCACTATGTGGGAAGATTTGCATAACGCCGCCCAAATGTTCACGCAAAGAAAGAAGGCGTAACTTTTATTCTCGCTATAGTATTGTTGTTGCCGCCGCCATGTCGTGAAGATGCTGTTTCGTTGTGAAAGCGAAACTACTTTGTTTGGTCTTCCAAAAGAGGACGATATCTGCTTCGACATGCCTGGAGCTGATTTGTGCTGGTCACTGACGAAATACTACAACTTTGCGCTGTGGATCGCCGGATCGGCTTTCACCGTGGACGAAGCGGAGTCCAGCCCGAGGTCGTCACATGTGGTTGACGCTGAGACTACAATGCCGGCTGTTCTAACTCAAAGACTGTAAGTACGTCTTTTATATTTAAAGAGTTTTTATATTTTATATATTTAAAGCAAGTTTTTTGGGCAGTGTAGAGTAGGGCTTGTTGTTTGTCATTTCTCCGATCACAAATGCAGATGGTTTTATGTTTACGCGGCGCGATGCAACGCAATGCGTAAAAAGACAGTACAAGTCATTATAATCCATAATTATGTCCCCAATGGATGCAACGAATGCCTCGATTATAACGAGTTTTCATGTTTTTGAATCATCACTCCGGCCTGACAGGGCATCATCACAGTATGGTAGGGGCGTAACATTTCCGTCACACGCTTGAGGTATTCGGCCAATCACAACGCACTGGATAGCTGGCCATCGCTTTTCAGACCGATGAGCTTTGTAAAAATCGACGCGTTTCAGAAAGGCGGGGCATAGAGGAGAAATAATAATGTACAGTATGTAGAAAATAATGTGTTTTTTGAACCTTAAACCACAAACACATTTCATTACACCAAATACACAAAATAATGTTCTTTTTAGCAGCATCATATGATCCCTTTAAAGATCAGAATTTCTTTTAAATGAAAATATTTAGCAACATTATGAATGTCTTTTCTGTCACTAAATGAAGTATTCATTTCTTATTTGAAAAAAAAAAAAAAAACCTGACCTAACCTAACTGACGCCAAACCTTTGAACTCTAGTGTATGTTACAGTGTAGCTCACACCCAGTGATTTAACAATGATAACCCTTTTTAAAAGAGTACCTACACCACAGTGACATGTTAGTCTAGCAGATGAATGGTGGAAGCCATGGGATGGACACATTCCAAAATATCTCACAGTTTTGACAATGGAAGATGAGTGTTTCATGTAGACTTGTGCATAATTTCCTATAGAAAAGCAGAAGACTTTTTTGTTTTTTGGAGTGATAAAACCGCTATATCACTACATGATTTTCTTAAATTTGATGACCAATAGAAGAATAGACACTGCACTGATATCCATCTATGTGGATGAAGCATCGTCCAATAGGAATTGTAGAAACAATTCTGATTTACTTTGCCATTAGACTTTCAAATTTGAATTTCAATAAAACTTGGACGTTCAAATGCACTTAATTTCAAATTAGGACTACGGGTCATATTGTAAGTGTGACGTGAAAATCCTGAATGTTCTTCAGTGGCACGGCTTGCATTACGTGATCCAGTAAGCAGCGTGTTGGTGTGTGGATGTACTCACGGATGGTCAACAGGCCAGAAGTTGATCAGTGTAACAGGACTGCAAGACAAAAAAAGATGTAATGATGGCCAGGACAAGTAGATGCATTGAAAGCATGATAATGACATGATTGTTAAGAAGCACCAAACACACAAACCCACTGATATGACAACACCGTTAAATCCTAACAGCATTTTTAGTGGCCAATAACACACACATGACAATTAAATCTCTTGCAAAATCAGTTTTTTGAGAAATAGGTTAATTCAGCATTGCTGGTTGTGTGTTAGGATTGAAATGAAAAAGGGAAAAAAAAAATAAAAAGATAATGCTGTAAGAATAATGCGTGTATGCATTTAGAACAGCTTTACGATTACTTTGACAGACTGCACACATTTGCAGCTGCTCCTCTACAGGGGGAAAAATAATTCCACACTCCTACTGTGAACACGAGTAATGATCAATGCACACGGTAAAGCAGAAAAAAAATCCAAACAAAACTCTTGCAGCTGCAATTTAAGGTTAGCAAGTGTTCAGAGTCATCTTTATTTGTCTCGTTTGCTACCATTTGCCCAGGTTAAAATGTTTTATTTAGAGTGTGTCAGATGAAATGCAGCTTTTTCTTCATGTCAGTATACAAAATTGAAAGAAACCGTTTAAATTTTCCACCAAGAATTGAGCATTTCATTGCATTTTTGGCTGAAGCGCTATAGCAGCCAAGATGTAGGTGAATTCATTATTTTCTTTCCTTTTTTCTTTTAATTTTGAGTGGATTTAAACAGCCATGTTTCTATTACTAGGAGTAAAGCGTGAGTATTGATTTCCAGGACTTTGATAGTTCTACTAATAATAGTTCTTTCTGTAAATATATCATTAAAAAGTGTGTCAGTGACTCAGTGTCATTATTATTGAAAACAAAAAATATTAAAAAATATTTTTTAATCATTGAAATAAAGCTGAAATGAAGTAAAATATAAATATTAGATGAACCTTTTAAAAATAAACAAATTATAAATGTTATCTTAGCAACTAACTGAAAAAAGTTTAAATTGAAGTACTAAAATGATACTGATGAACTGAAATTAAAACCTGAACAGAAATAAAAAACTAATTAAAATTATTTTACTAACAGCATATAAAATTATTAAAATGTTACAATTAAAATAAACTGAAAATATAAAATTCTATAATAGTACATAAATAATACTAAAATAGGCCAGTATGATCCTAAATCAGTCAAAGCCTGCCCTTATGATCAACTATCCATTGTCTAAAATATGGTGGACACATTAATTCTGCCCTCTTGATGGCATCTGGAGTCGCAGTGTGATGCGCACTATGCTTTTAATAATAATAGACGAAAAAGTGTCCCTATCAGCTGTCACGTGTCTAATTAATCAGTAGCTGATGGTAACAATGAAGTGTCTCACGTCTCCATGTTGTCTCCCTCAAGGATGGTCTGGACGGGAAGGTAACCCATGCGAGGATGCTTGGCAAAATAGCGCTTTGTCCTGAACTTATTCTTCAACACCTTGGCAAAGTCTCTCACGTCCTCTCCTGATGTCGTCTGAAGTAAAAGGACACAGAAAGTCATACCTTGTACTTTAATCTTAAAACACATGGACTTTGCCAGATACTAAACTTCCAATGCAATGCTACGAAGGCAAAAAGCAAAAAACCTACCGGTGTGCAATATTCAACCATAGGGTACTGCATCTTGTGACCTTTAGCCACTCTGCCAGAAAAGAAGCAGCTTTGGCAGATATCATAGTTAAAGTGCTTTAAACTTCGGTACCTGTAGAGACCAGACACAAACAGTGAGATCAGTGTTAAAGTCTTATCCAAAACATTCAAAACATCCTTGATCTAAAGGGACATGCATGCAAGGTTATTTCCCGGAAAAGTGTAGTTACATCTTGATCCTCCAGGTGGAGTTGTTCCCTGTTCTCACTTACTCTCAATAGAGAGCATATAATAGTCATTCTGCTGTATTCTAATAGTCATTCTAAAAGGGGAAAAAATGCAGAAAAATATTCTTTCATGATTTACCTTCACAATACATACACTACCGTTCAAAGGTTTGGGGTCAGTACGTTTTTTGTCCTTTATAAAATCATTACTTTTATTCAGCAAAGATGCATTACAAGCATTATTTTTATTCTTTTACAAAAGATTACTTCAAATAAAAGCTGCTCTTTTGAACTTTATATTTATAAAAGAGTCTCCACAAAAATATTAAGCAGCACAACAGATAATAAAGAAATAATACAAATACCAAATCAGTGTATTAGAATGATTTCTGAAGGATCATGTGACTGGAGTAATTCAGCTTTGATTCACAAAAATAACATTTTTGACCCTGGACCACAAAACCAGTCATAAGTGTCAATTTTTTCAAAATTTAGATTTACATACCATCTAAAAGATTACTATATAAGCTTTCCATTGATGTATGATTTGTTAGGATAGGACAATATTTGGCTGAGATACAACTATTTGAAAATCTGGAATATGAGGGTGCAAAAAAACTATACAAAATATTGAGAAAATCGCCTTTAAAGTTGTCCAAATAAAGTTCTTAGCAAAGTTTTGATATATTTAGAGTAGGAAATTTACAAAATATCTTCATGGAACATGATCTTTACTTAATGTCCTAATGATTTTTGGCATAAAAGAAAAATCTATAATTTTGACCCATACAATGTATTGTTGGCTATTGCTACAAATATACCCCAGCGACTTAAGACTGGTTTTGCAGTCCAGGGTCAGGTTTAAAACAGATTAAAATAAAACACAATTATTTTAAGTTTTAATAATATATAATTCTACTGTTCTACTGTATTTTTGACCAAATAAATGCAACCCTGGTTAGCTTAGACAATTTTTTTTTTAAATCTTACTGACCCCAAACTTTTGAAAGGAAGTCACATGGGTTTAGAATAACATGAGGGTGAGCTATTATTGACAGTTAGTGAGTGAACTATATTCCTTTGACGAAATGGCATTAAAAATGAATGTTATTCTGCAGTGAAAAAGTCATAATTTTTAATCAAATAAATCTCTCTTAATCTCCCCAACAACTTTCCTTTTCTACTTATACAAGCAGAGGCAGAGGGAGAAAAAATATATTATTATGTCACAAACTAAATTGAAAGGAAGTCACATGGGTTTAGAATAACATGAGGGTGAGCTATTATTGACAGTTAGTGAGTGAACTGTATTCCTTTGATGAAATGGCATTAAAAATGAATGTTATTCTGCAGTGAAAAAGTCATAATTTTTAATCAAATAAATCTCTCTTAATCTCCCCAACAACTTTCCTTTTCTACTTATACAAGCAGAGGCAGAGGGAGAAAAAATATATCCCCATTTCAATGAAATCCCAATGGATAAAACATACAAAGTCATGTCCCATATTATTTCTCACTGTAAATCAATGGGTTATGCCAAGTGAAAACATCTTTTAGACATTTTTTGCACATGCACAAGACCCAGATTTTGCATTAGAAGTGCTGACCCAACACAGAAATGTATAAATACTACCATTAACCTACGTAGAGACTAACATGATAAGTTGAAATATTGAACATTTTGTGCATAAACAACAACAGAAATGCAATTTCTCAGCCTAACATGCAACAAACCAAAGGCAAAACACTGCATTAATATTGATTAAAATATCATGCAACATAAATTTACTGTGGCAAAAATATGGAAGCATTTTGAGCAACCATGATAAATCTTCTATTCTAACAATACAAAGTGATGCATAGTTGCATTTCATGATTTTTAGCATTGTTTTTCCATGCTATCCATGATCTTATTTGCTGGAAATATAATGAATAAACAGCCAAAAAATCTCATGAAAAAAACAAACTAATGATTCGTAAGACAAGGAAGAATGTAAATAGGGTCACGTTGATACCATGTTGAATTCAAAGTGAAATATATGAAAATACTTTATGCAAAGTACAAGCAGTACGGTGTTCTCCCACCAATAATAATAGAAAATATACAGTGCAGCTTTCCAAGCCTCAAAACAGACCAAGTTATTCTTTTTCAAAGTCTGCCTTGAAGTTTGGTGCAATGCTTAATAATGCAAAACAAAAACAAAAACTGCTGATACTTTTAAAGCACCTGAGGCCAAATTAGTCATTCTGAATAATAGCATTAAAGAAAAGGTCCATACCTGAAGCCAATAATAGGACATTCCTTACAAATGTTGCATTTAGCCTGGTGCTTTGCTGTCTCAGCGGCCGCCACACGGTGAAGGACAGGAAGCCAAACCATCGACTGAGGTTCTAAACGCATCCAGTCCAGGAAGACTGAGGCCTCTAGCTCTGGTTTGTTATTGGCCTTCATATCAGAGCAAAAGAAAATAAATGCAGGAAACGCAGAAAAAGTGCATATTCTACATGGCCGCTTTAACTTAATCTGTTCATGAATGAAGACGGTGGTTACTTACAAACTGAAAGCAGCTGCGCACACTGGGCTCGATATTGCTCCCTCCGAAAGACGCCACCTCACCCAGCTGCCTGGGGATCTGAATGGCGTCGTGCAGAAGGAGGCCGAGGCGCCGCTGGTCACAGAAGCCTGTGGCACTGGCCACCTCTCGGAATAAAACTAGAGAGTACAGGAAGAAATTATGAGGGAGATGGGTAACAGAGACGGAGAGTCAAAACTATCATATTTTGATTCACAGAAAAAAAAAATCCTTTGATCCATACTCAAGCATCTAATTGAATTTGTCAATGTTCAGTGACATGAATCGATTAAACGTATTAGCAAAATAGAATATGTACTGTCTTAATTATATTATATTAAACATTTACAAAAAATTGTATTGATGTATTTATATACAGTGGTGGCCAAAAGGATTAGAATATTGTTTTTTTCACCAGCTAAAAATTGTTTTTAGTCAGTTATTTCAAACTTTTGCTGTAGTGTGTCAGAAGGAAATATCAGTCTACATTTCCAAACATTCAATTTGCCATTAATTGTAATAATCCAGTGAGATTTTTGTTTGCACAAGGAGTCTGACAACAGCAGTGCTTCACACAGAGATCTGATCTCAGCATCATCCAGTCTGTCTGGAATCACATGAAGAAACAGAACAAACTGAGACAGAATAAATCCAGAAGAACTGTGGCAACGTCTCCAAGATGCTTCAAGAAACCTACCTGCAAAGCTTCCTGAAAAACTATGTGCAAGTGCATCTAGGGCAAAAGCTGCTTTAAACGCAAAGGATGGTCACACCAAATGTTGATTTTTTTTTTTAAGTTAATTGATAAAGAAAATCTATTTATGACATTATTTTTGACAGCATCCTCATTTTACAGCATTTTAACATTACTGTAGCTTTGCAGGTAGGTTTCTTGAACTGACACACTACAGCAAAAGACAGAAATAACTGATTTAAAACCATTTTTTTAGCTGGTGAAGATACTAGTGTTCTAATAATTTTGGCCACCACTGTATGGCTGCTAAAAATCAGCTTTACCATCACAGGAATAAATTACATGTACATTTTAAATATATTCAAGTTATTTTACTTTATAATAATATTTCACAATATTACTGTTTTTACTGTATTTTTGATCAAATAAATGCAGCCTTGGTGAGCATAAGTGTATTCTTTCAGAAACATTAAAAACACTTTTAAATGGCTGTATATGTATTTTTTTTTCTTCTTCAGTTTTTCGCCATTTGGAACAGAATCATCACTCTGAAGTGTATTAAAACACTTGTTATTAATGCAAATGCCATCAATTGCTGTGCGGTTGCTAGGTGGGTAAACATTTATTTCTGAGCAGCTGTTGCACTATACTGTGTGCTATATACTTTAAACGAGCAAACTCCGAAGCTTTACAACTGTGTTTACAGCAGTGCTATTAACAAGCAAACAATGACAACATACTACAAGACACTAAAAACACCTGAGAGAGCTGTAAACTGCTAGCAGTACAGTTCCATTAACCGAGTGAATATCTTGGCTCTTATTATGGCTTAGAGACAGAATAGAAAGAAGGAAGCATATAAGATAAGCAGAAAAACTTACATCTGTACTTATCTTCAAGGTGAGCTTTGCACAAACAGATTATTCCTGTTTTGAAGGATAGGGTACGAATTTTTCCGGCTCGTCCTCTGCGGTAAAAAAAAAATAAAAATAACACGGTGACAAATGACTAAAGCGAGACCGTCAATTGCTCTTTTTTTTGCAGATAAAGAGTCAAGACGAGAAACAAAATACTCTCAATGTTTTTGCACCATAAGTTGGTAAAATATACAGTACTGCTGTTGCTTTTAAACAAAGACATTCTTCAGAATTTTTTTCTGCAACCGGGGTATAGGAAGGGTTTTTAAAATCAAATATAAGACCTATTTCGCCCACAAACAAATACAATTAATATCGTATGTCCACACAGAACAAACCCATATTCTCTTTTATATAATTAAACAGGCTGGGACACTTATATAATGAGGACTTAATGCCGTTTATATCAGCAAAACCTTTTTACAAGTTTAAAAACAAGCTTTATTCACTCTGTATTGAAAATGGTTTATGTACCAATATATCAATACACACAAATTAGAAGTTGATTTCAGTTGGATTTTGCCGATATGATAATAATGTGCTTAAAAAAATTAAATAAACAGATTATTGTTTAGACACTAGTAAAATCTATATACTGTATATGTTAAATATTGTTTTAGTCTTTCCTTTCTGTGATGAGGTGGCCCAGAGGGAAGCTCTCCTACAACCATCTACAACATCTTTCAATTTAAACACAAGAGTAAACGTCATAATTCTTCAACAGTAGCATAAATGCACTGTATTTATTGAAGTGAAACTACTTTGCAACCGTGAGCCTGCAGAATAGAGCCACATTTTGACTTTGAAACATTAAATCATGGCCTTTTGAAATTGAACAATCACATTTTTGTCCCCAAACTTAAGACCTTTTAAAATGACAACTACTTTGTTATACCATTTAAGAGGTTTTTAGGGGCCATTCACATATTGTGTTTTTTGCACGCTCAAGTTCGTTATTTCAAATGTAGACGCGCGGCAGGCGCGGTCATAATGGCAGTGACGCGGTCGCGCCACGCTCATTTTTTCCATAAAAATGTAATGATGATAAAAATTATAAAAACATTTCAACATTTCAGAATGCCGCAAGCGCACCGCGGGTCATGTGACAAGAACCAACCAATCAGCTTCATCCGTTCCTAGCTGTACAGGATAGACATTTTTTTATAAATTTAGTAGCGCCCAAACGCTTAGGGGAAAAAAGCAGAAAGTGGCACACCTAGCATTTTCCACGCATTTTTAGGTGCGACATGTGAACGGCCCCTTAAGGGTTTAAATTCAAACAAACTGTATTTAAGATACCATGTCAACACCCCATCTTCTTTAAATAACATAGCTTTGCAAGACAATCTAGGTAAAAAGCAGACATAGAATGAAAAGACCTCCAATGCTTTTCTCTCAGTTTACTCTGGGGGACAGACGGGGGTCTTCTGTGGAATCTACCACCTCCATGTTCAAACACTGCATGATTTATGGCTCAGTGTGATCCTACTAAGAAACATGCTGAGAACTGACTCAAACTCCAACTGATACTCTCTGACTCATATGTTCAAAGATTTAATGGATTAGTTCACCCCAAATTTAAAATTCTGTCATCATTTGCTCAACCTCATGTTGTTACAAACTTGCATGACCTTCTTTCAATCAAGGATTTTTCTGATGCAGTGCAGCAAGGACATTCTTCAAAATTTCTCTGTTTGCTTTCCACAGAAGACAGCATGTCATGATTTGGAATGCCATGAGGGAGAGTAAATGATGACAAAATGTTAATTTGAGCTATTGCTTTAACATGTTAAACACACAAACAATAAAAAATGGTTGAACGTACGTATCATAAACGTTGAGCAGCCAGTTGAGACACATGTCCACACACAGGGGCACGTTAACCAGGCTGCTGTGCTGCTGCTCCATCCGGTCATAGATGCTGGTCAGACAGTTGATCACTTGCATGATGTCCATGAATTGCTCGTTCTGTTTCAGATTGTGCTGCTCAAAGGCCTCACAGGCTGCAGACATGCCCAGAAGATCCACTGTGTACAGAAAAAAAGCAGAAGTTGCGAAAAAGTTGCTATGCTACAAAAGGAGGAATATTTTAGCTGACTGTTATCAGTAGGATGAATGTTCAAACTGAAAAAAGTGTTGTGTGATCGCAAAGAGGAAATTTTGTGAACTTACAGCAGAGAGCTTTCTGCATTCGCCTGAGCTTCATTGCCGTCCTGTACGCCGAGAACCGTACGTTGTTGAGATCCGCTGTTTGGTGACAAATGTTAATTTTAGCAAACTGATCATGCAACATTTCATTACTGTCACAGTCAAACCTCTCATCTCTGCATTTGACAGTTTCTAATTTTGATCTTATTTGTTGGGTTCTGAAAAACAGGCAGCAGAAACATCAAGCTAGTTTCATCCAATTATTTTCTGCATTTTAAGTCCATTGATCAAAAATGTTTCGTCTAACAATCTGACATTTTATTCAAGGGCAATTACACTACCACATAGATTCAAATACTGCAAAAGTGGGAGATATATCTACTTCGTATTAGAGCTGGGTAATATGGTTCAGCCTTGTTGCCAAGAGTAAATAGGAAGACGTTAAATATACACTTATTATATCCTTGCTGAATAATTACTAATACATTTTAATATACAGTAAAATGCCACATGAAGATCTCCATTAACAGTTTTGCATGACAACAGTAATAATAAAAAAGTAATGATGAATAAATTATTAATATTCAGCCACGTCCAGCCGTACTACATGCACATCAGATCTGAATCATGCCTACCTAATGACTGGTACAGTTCTGCCATCTTTGGGTGGTCCCAACATGTTGTTTGGTTCTGGTGACTGAAAGCAAAAACATGATGAAATACAATAAACAGTACCTCTGTCTGAAAAAACATACTTTATAATAAATACCAAATGATGCTATACAACATCCATAAATGTGTTTATGACTCATATTTAGTGCTAGAGACAGTGTCATCCATATAGGGCAATGCAGATTAAGACAAGGCCTTGAGTCATTTTACATCAAACAATAAGTCTGTGTAGTCTTCAAACTCAAGAATAGCTAAGCTATATTCTTCATCTTCAACAGATACTCTAACACATCTAATAAATCCATTAATGCAGGATTATCATGACAATGGCTAAAAACATACTAACTATAGTTTATTTACTCATCCTCATGTTGTTACTTGTGTTATTTTGTGGAAGGCAGGATGTGAATTTAAAAGAATACCCTTGCCTGGCCATTATTTTCAGTACAATGGAAGTAAATGAGAAATGGGGCATTACGCAGAGGAAAAAAAAAAAAAAAGGCAGCATAAACATATCATAAAATTGGTCCATACGCAAAACGACTGTACCACTTCTAGGATACAGTTATGCTGTTTAGTGACGTTAGAGCCTCCATTTCTATTTCACTTTCATTATATTGAAAATAACGACCGGAATGTTCTTCAAAAAAATCCCTTTTATGTTCCACGGGAAAAAAGTCCCACAGGTTTGGAACAACATGAGGGTGAGAAATGTCAGATCTTTCATTTTTGAGTGAACGATGCCTTTAAGAAAAAAACAAGGGATGAAAGGGACTTTTACAAGATGTTGTAATGTGTTTTCCCAGCAATATAATGCATTGGATTTTTAAAAAACAAACATTGTCACATTATGCCAGATGTTTAAAGGCATTTGACAGTTTCTAATTTTGATCTTATTTGTTGGGTTCTGAAAAACAGGCAGCAGAAACATCAAGCTAGTTTCATCCAATTATTTTCTGCATTTTAAGTCCATTGATCAAAAATGTTTCGTCTAACAATCTGACATTTTATTCAAGGGCAATTACACTACCACATAGATTCAAATACTGCAAAAGTGGGAGATATATCTACTTCGTATTAGAGCTGGGTAATATGGTTCAGCCTTGTTGCCAAGAGTAAATAGGAAGACGTTAAATATACACTTATTATATCCTTGCTGAATAATTACTAATACATTTTAATATACAGTAAAATGCCACATGAAGATCTCCATTAACAGTTTTGCATGACAACAGTAATAATAAAAAAGTAATGATGAATAAATTATTAATATTCAGCCACGTCCAGCCGTACTACATGCACATCAGATCTGAATCATGCCTACCTAATGACTGGTACAGTTCTGCCATCTTTGGGTGGTCCCAACATGTTGTTTGGTTCTGGTGACTGAAAGCAAAAACATGATGAAATACAATAAACAGTACCTCTGTCTGAAAAAACATACTTTATAATAAATACCAAATGATGCTATACAACATCCATAAATGTGTTTATGACTCATATTTAGTGCTAGAGACAGTGTCATCCATATAGGGCAATGCAGATTAAGACAAGGCCTTGAGTCATTTTACATCAAACAATAAGTCTGTGTAGTCTTCAAACTCAAGAATAGCTAAGCTATATTCTTCATCTTCAACAGATACTCTAACACATCTAATAAATCCATTAATGCAGGATTATCATGACAATGGCTAAAAACATACTAACTATAGTTTATTTACTCATCCTCATGTTGTTACTTGTGTTATTTTGTGGAAGGCAGGATGTGAATTTAAAAGAATACCCTTGCCTGGCCATTATTTTCAGTACAATGGAAGTAAATGAGAAATGGGGCATTACGCAGAGGAAAAAAAAAAAAAGGCAGCATAAACATATCATAAAATTGGTCCATACGCAAAACGACTGTACCACTTCTAGGATACAGTTATGCTGTTTAGTGACGTTAGAGCCTCCATTTCTATTTCACTTTCATTATATTGAAAATAACGACCGGAATGTTCTTCAAAAAAATCCCTTTTATGTTCCACGGGAAAAAAGTCCCACAGGTTTGGAACAACATGAGGGTGAGAAATGTCAGATCTTTCATTTTTGAGTGAACGATGCCTTTAAGAAAAAAACAAGGGATGAAAGGGACTTTTACAAGATGTTGTAATGTGTTTTCCCAGCAATATAATGCATTGGATTTTTAAAAAACAAACATTGTCACATTATGCCAGAAGTTTAAAGGTCTCTTGAGTAAAGAAGACTGAATAGGCAATGTGCCAAAACTAAAGTTATGCAAAGAATTGTGGGCATGTTTGTGACTGAAACACACTAAACGGCAACTTATCCCAATTAATAGTGGTCCTGTTGCATGTGCATTTGGCATTGACTGAAAACATTTAAAGACTGATGGAACTTAAAGAGTCAAAAGCTCACCTCCGCCAAAAAATCGTCTTGCAACTCGTAATCACTTTATCTGATATTTCCCATGAATAAATAGTTTGAAGTCCATTGTTTAGGTCCTACTTCTGACCATGGGAGTAGTTCTGAGCATCTGAGTTATAGTACTGGGTCGTCTTTGTTTGAATCGTAAAAGAAGAGAGTTTAGATTTCTACATTCGCAACAGTGCCTGTTTTGTTACAAGTACTCTTAATGAATCCATTAGTGGAAATGCAATTTACACTACTGAGATGCCTTGTTTTGAAGCGTTGCTATGGACCGGGATGTTTTTGTGATTTTGGGTTTAAGCCAGCCAAGCAGCTCTGCAGAATTCTAATAAGGTTGAGAAACTTCAAAACTAATAAATTATACCCAGACCCTACAGTGCTTTTAGGAGGAAGAAACACAAACTGGGGTTCCAACCATCAACAAAAATTAGATGAAAGTGAACTTCCAAGCATTGTTTTTCAGAAGAAATATTTTTTTGAAAAAGTCAAAGAGGACGAAATGAAAGTATGAAAGGATTTTTAAAAAGGGTTGCAGAAAACATAGCATCTCTGAAATGCAAACATCATGGCGAGGAATCACTTTCACAATTGGACCACTAAAAAAGTGCCATAGTAATACCAATACCATGGGACTGTGACAGCATTTTTGTTAGGTACACTGTTAACCTGGAACATCTGTGAAACATTTATCTGAACTAACAAGATAAATTATATTTCTAATACACATATTGCTATACTGATAGTAATATTTAAACCTGGTAAACTTGTATTTTTTTGAGTAATACACTGTATAGGTTTACTACCCATTATAGCCTGTTTATAACAGCGAGACTAATGTAAGCCTTCTAGTCCTTTAAACTCAATCATTGAACCATGTCAGCGGATTTTAAGGAAACACATGAAATGTGAATGCCATCAGACTGAACACACGTGTGAACGGCCTTCTGAATGGCTCTGAATTCATCAAAATGCATTGTTTGATGCCATGCATATCACAGTTATTTTATTGTACTCACAGCCTCTTTTAACAGAAAGAAACAACAAGTACATGTAGATTTGTTATGACAACAAAAGTTTCTTTCTTTCCTTCCTTGCAATATGCACATATGTTATAAATAAATCTAGATTCCCTGCTATGAAATAGTATTCTTTGTGAAAAGTGCTATACAAATAAATCTGGATTGAAACAACCGACTTCCCTGCGATCTCCCTCAGCCAGAGCGGCTCAGACGAGGCGGAGCTTTTCCTCCAGCTCCCTTCCCCCTCTTAACTCCTCTCGATTTCTCTCTCTCTCTCTTTCGCTCACTTACAGGCTGTGCCTCAAAACATAGCATGCCGCCAACCTAGACCGCATTTTAGGGTACCACTGTGGAAATCGTTTAAATAAAGGAATCCGACAAAATACAGATTCTTAAAAATGCAGGAATGTAACGCGCCTATTATACAGTCGGGTCAAACGCGCCGGTGTGATCCGATACATTGTTCGAACGCTCTTGTAATACTCAAGTGAACGTCTGAACTTTCAAATGATGTTCAGAAATGCTCAATTAACTGTAAACTCGCGACTGATGCTGAAAATGCTCGAATAAATCATTCGAACGTACTGATGATTTCCATAATGTAATCAAACGTTTGATTGTGCCTATGAAGCAACAGAAAAAAAATAATCGAACCAATAAAACGGAAAACGCTCAAATCAAATGGTCGACTTTTTTTTTAAACGTTCGCCTATGATAGTCAAAATGCTCAATTAAACATCTAAGATGAAAAAAATGTGAATGAATGGAATGTTGCAGGAGTGTTAAACACTGCACTGAACTATTTGGCGAATCACACTGTCGTCGAATCGAACATTATGTGAAAATAGTTAAATGTCGGAATGCAACAAACATGATTCCTAAAACGCTTTAATGGAATGTTCTAACGCTCCTATTATGCTAAAAACAATAAATTCCGCGTTCGAACGCGACCGTGATTTGCCAAATTGTTCAATGCAACATCTGAACACTTCTCCTGCAATAAAATGCTCAAAAAGAACGTCTGAACTTGTTCAAAAATGCCTAATCAACTGTATAATCTCGCCATTAATCCCGAGATATGCTTGAAATGAAATATTAACATTCTGATGATTTCCATATGCTCAGATCAGACGCCTGAACGTAAAAAAAAAAAATTGCACCAATAATACGAAGAAGAAAAACTCAAATCAAATGGCAAAAAAACTAATACAAAAAAAAAAGTCTATTAGCATATGGTCAAAATTCTTGAATTAAATAGTCTTTGTGAAATAAACAAACAAACAATTCTGGATCCGATATTCAAACATATCTATGATTTAAAAAAAATCATTAAGGCAGGCAGCTAGCTCACTGGGATTTGAGACACAACCACTCAGTGTGGAAATGATCAGTATTTACTGTCTTGTCGTGGAGGGCTAGATGGGTTATTTATTCTCTGACAAAAGCTGGTGCTACAGTGCCGGAATCTTATTTCATTAGGCTTACGTTTTGCATAAATTCGAAATAAATTGTGATCCATATAATATGCAATAGTTTGCTTAATGTATTGGATGGGATGGAGTTCATGAAGTTTATGAGAAAAAAGCCTATATAAGTTTATGGGTAAAATATTTCATTGGATAACACGTTTATAATAACTTTCATTACTGACATTAACGAACATTTAGATCACTACTGTACATATATAAATGCCATGAAACTTGGATTCATACGTATATTTCATATAAATGAGTGAATGAACTACTGATCTGTTAAGCATTAATGTTTGTTGATGACTTATTAATGAAAGTTATTATAACGCGATCCCCTTTTTGTCCTGCAGCTTATCAGGCGGGAAATAACAAATTCTAGTGCCATCTGACTGCAAGTACTGCTCCGCTTGACCAGCATTAATGACATTCATAATCTATGACAGCATCATTAAGAGTCAGTTCTCTCCTACTTGAAGTCAGATTCATGCACTGCCGTGAGCATAAATGCTGCCCTGAATTTATATGAAGGTTGTGCACATACTTTAAAGATTAAATTAAATACTGTATGCCAAGCGAGTGAGTAATAACATGCATTACATGCTGGGGGGTTTCAGCTTGGTTGTTTCGAATTGATCTGTTATAGAGAAAGCCTGGCATAACTGGCTCAGGAAAATGAAGACACCAGTTAATCACATAATCACATGACCATTTCTGAGGATGATATTATAGATTTTAAGCCACACAAGTGATGAAATCGCTATACTGGAATTACTCCTATTATAATCCTATGTACACTCATTTTCAGAAGTGTGGGGTCAATAATTGTTTATTTTTAATTAAGAATTTCTTGAAAGAAGTCTCTTATGCTCACCAAGGCTGCATTTATATGATCAAAAATACAGTAATATTGTGATATATTTTTTTATCATTTAGAATAACTTTTATATTTTGATTTCATTTTTTATATTTTGATATATTTCAAAATGAAAATGATCCCTGAAAGACAAAGCTGAAATTTAGGCAGTCATTACTCCAATCTTCAGTGTCACATGATCCTTCAGAAATCATTCTAATATGCCGATTTGATGCTCAAGAAACATTTCTCATTATCATCAATGTTGAAAACAGTTGTGCTGCCTAATATTTTTGTGAAAACGGTGATCGATTTTTTCGATATTCTTTTATGAGTAGAAAGTTCAAAAGAACAGCATTTATTTGAAACCGAAATATTTTGCAACATTATGAATCACTTTGTCACTTTTGATCAATTTAATGCAACTTTGATGAATAAAACTATTAATATATTTAAAAAATCTTACCGATCCTATACTTTTGAACATTATTGTATGTATATATATGAGGTTATTGCAACTTGTAAGCAAGACAAGTGGGATGAGATGTGCCTACTTGTCTTGCAAAGGAAAATCAGATAGAAGTGAAAGCAATACTCATAATTATATTGCAGGATGTCTGCTATAGTATCTACTGAAACAAGAAGCATCTATATCATATAGCTATGGAACATAACTTCTAAAAATGTGCTAAGCTCTGCATGTCAGGGGGTATACTGAACAGTTTGAATAATTCACCAAGGCCTTATTTTGCAAAACATTATTCACATTTTCATAAATCAGCCATCAGGTTTAAAATCCAGAATATTTTAACATTCTGTAATATCTCCTGCATTTTGATGTAAACTTGCTATCACCATTTGTTGAGCTACTAACAACTTTTTCTCACAGGTACTATTTTGGGGAAAAAATGCTTCATTTAATAACTCACGACTAACCTAGGGTCAAATAATATACATGGTTATATACATTGGCAATTTAACATGTATGAATATAGGTACTGTATATTTTTGACCTTGGATAAGATTGCTTTGACATGAAATTCATTATAGAATTGCATTGCAGGAAAAAAAAATATTAAAATAAAATGCTATTAGCAAAATCTTTCAGTCACCAGGGCTGACATTTTACTCGTATGCTGTTTAGTTTTATACCTGTACACATTTATCTATCACTTATTACAAAGAGCAAAAATATATGATTGGTTATCTGTTTGAATGCAACATTTGTATTTGCACTTTTATGTAAAGTATAGAACATTTAAATGGAAAAACTTGCCCAAAAAAAAACCCCAAACTTCCTGGTTTAATATGAAGAACAGTATTTCTGAGACTCGCTCACTCAGTCATCTGTGCGCACAGGTTCTCAGCTATATGTGATGCATGCTGCTACATGCATTGGCAGAGCCTAATTTATCATCTCAAATTATTCTGCACAAATTTTCCAGGGTGATATCTCTGTTCGGAAAAAAGGTCATGGAAAATCACTTTTCTTTGGTAGTCTGCCGCCAGCTGTGATATATTTCTTAGTCTGGGAGCTTTCATAGTGTTGAAATTCAATTTGTTAATTCAGTGTGGACCTTGAATGTGCCTGACATCAACATGTGGGCTGAGTTTGGGAAGACTTACTTGATATAGTAGGGGACATTGTTGGGCGAAATAGAGCGTTCAAGAGGGCGTTCAACGGATGCTGTGTGCAGAGAAGAAAAGCTGTTCATGTTACCTTAATTTCAAAAAGCCCTTTCTATGCAAACACTTCTTCATTTGGTACATGACACATTTTATGTACAGTAACTGACTTGACAACTAAATACACAGGATTAGTATATAAGTGCAATGTTATGACATTTCAATTCTCATAATATTGCAAAACAGAACAACACAAACACACTCACCGTGTAAAAAATTCTGAGACTGGGACCCCAAGTCCTTATAGGCTGCGGTCATCTGGGTCAGATGTTCCTCGATGGAGATCTAAAAACCACAGAACAGACAGAAAAGGGGGACTAGAATTAATTTAGAATTTTAGTATCATTTCTACAGCATTTTATTATTTATAACACTTTGAATTAGCTTTTATTTATATTTTGAGTTTTCATTTTAATTGAAGCTTTTCTCATTTCATTTTGTCGTTTTTATTAAACAGTTCTATTAAGCTTTCATTTTTTTCCAGTTTTAGTAAAGTTGTAATTTAATTTTCTAAGTTTACATTTTTGATTTACTATTTTTATTTTAGGTTTTCAAAAGCTTTTCAGCATTTCAATTAACAGAAATTATTTTTTAAAAGTTTTAGTTGACAATAACAACACTCACAGAAGGAAACAATGACAGCAATGGAAAAGAAAACAATTTTAAAAGAAAAACGTTTTTCTTTAGAATATTTCATCATGATTGTTTTTATGTTTCTGTCCTACTTCCTTTTATTAAATAATGCCTTTCTGTGTCCTTTGTCAAATCTCTGAAGGACAGATCATTTTTGTGATCTGCTTGTTGCATCTATTGCTGACATGTACACTTTTCTACAACTTCCCAAAGATTGAACCGTATTTTTTGATTCTTTTTGTTTCAGAAACTAAATCTGTGACCTGACTAGATTTATAAATAGTTGGTCCATTGGAATGAGTGTTATTTTAAATGTAACATGAAATCAAAACTACTTTGTTTGTACAATTTCCTAACTTTATTCTCAACAATTAATTGGTGCACGTTATTCCAAATGAACACTAGTTTGTCTTTGTAATCTTTAATCAAAATGTAACACCTTGCTTTTCATCTGAAACAACAGTCCTTTTTGCTGATGTCACTAAGCCCATGTTGGCTACTGGATAATGTTAACCAATAGCCAAATAGCTATTTAGGCATTGTTTTGGCATAATCGCTCCATATAGGTATGGGACAGTCAATCAGTTCCCAATGGATCAAATCGAGTCCCTCATTTCTTGTTAAACATGGCCTTTTGCTTGAAAATACATAAGATTAGGTTGCAAAACATCAATTTACATTAACTTTAAATAAGAAGAACAAGGATGGATACCTGCAGGAGCCTCCATCTCATGTTGAGGTCATCAATTCTACTCAGGTTGTCTGGAGAAAGTTGAATGTCAGGTGGTCGAAATGTGGAAGCCAGTTGGTTCACCTGATTTACATTATCCTGGATGGGAGCAATCTCCTCCTGGAACGCCTGAAAAAATACACAAAATATTGATACCTTTTGGCAAAAATGCTAAATATATATATATCATGGTATAAACATGTTACTCCAAGGTGCTTCAAATAATACCATGGTATTGCCACAGAACATGTCCAAACCATCTTATCCCTTATAACATGTACCATGAGAGGACACCAACCTTTACTCTGTCTATGTGGTTTTGCAAATCATCTATGAGCAGGTCCCCAACAGGCTTCCAAGAATTCTTCACGGTCTCAGCCTGCCGTAGCTTGAAGTCCAGCTGATCCTGGGCATCCTGGAGCTCCATCAGCCTTTCCATGGCCAGTTCCAGCTGTTGCTGCCAGTCAACGGCAGCTGCACCCAGATTCTTCCATCGCACCGTTACATCCTCCACTTCTTTACGCAATATGCGGCCTACATTTTGAACCCTCTCCTCAGGACTTACATCTGGGCGGCATACAATAAGTACAACACAGGTTATAGCATCTAGAATTTCTTGTATTGGGCATATGTGTAAGGAGAGATTTCATACCCTTTTGTCCAGGCCTCTGTTTCAGACCCTCATGAGGCATCTCAGCAAGGAAGGTTTTAGCATTGTCAAGTGTTCCATTGATTACTGGTTCTTTGGCAACCAATTCCCTTCTGAAGCCCTATGAAAGCACGAGGACTTGCTATCAAGTACTGTATGTCATAAGGAGGGGTGAATATTTCTGCAACTTTAGCACATATGCGAAAACCTGCATCTTATTAACATACTGTACCCCCCCCCCCTGCAGTCACACTTAACCAGGTGCTATTTGTGCTGGTATGGTGACGCCTCATGCATATTTAAATTAATCCATTGTCATTCCTTCCTGGGCAAACATGCCTACTTCCTATGCAAATAGGGCACATTATAGAATGCATTGGATTCACAAATATCAATACAGCAGGATGCAATTAACACAGTACTGTTACCAATGTTTGTGTACATTTTCTAGTGATCCTTGTGAGAAAATTTTACTGCTCAGATCTTTCAGTCATTTTTCTGGGCACATTTCCATGCAATACAAACTGTCATCAACTGTTTCTACATCATTACACGATATGCATAATTCCTTCAAAGAACCAGGTGCTAAAATAATGCAGATGTTGCATGCCAGTGTTGTTACCTAAAACAACAAAAATATTTTTTGAAAATAAAATAAAATGTTTAAATACTAACATTACTAAAACTGAGATCAAAATAAAGCTAAATATAAATATTAAGAAATTATTAAACACAACAAAAAACTGAAAATATAAAAAAGTTTAATGAATACTATCATATTATATAAATAATCCTAAAATAACAAAAATCCCATGTGACACTATCAGTGGACACGTTTCATTCATTGTTTTTATGAACAAACAAACCCTAAAAATTACATTATCTCAACCATTTAAATAAAAAATACAATAACAACCTCTGTAAGATATAAAAGAAAGTTGATCATTATTATTTTCTTATTTGTGAAAATGTTTCTGTTTTGCATTTTTCTAATTATAATAAAATATTTTATTCTTAATTATATTATTTGAGTGAAAGGTTGATTTGATAAGTGTCACTTGTACATGAATGACAGCAGCATTTGAGTTGCATGAAGTCCACAATTTTGGTAATAATAATAATACATTTTATTTATAATGCTCTTTTCTCATACACAAAGCGCTACAGCAGCAAATACAAGTGAAAATACAGGATTGCAAAATTGAATACAATTTAAATAAAAACCTCATGTTCAAGTTATCTAGTATGATTTTAGAATGATCCAAACAGTGTCCTGTTTCTCAACAGACGCAAAGAAATCCGACCGTTTATGAAACTTAGTTCAACGCCATATATTTAATATGCAAAATTTATACCACAACGTTTCTGTTTTCAAACTTTATTTCCAAGTAAGAGTGGGAAAATAAATTCTAGGTTTTCATTGCTGTGCTGTGTCTGAGCAAACGTCTGAGACTGCAATGTCAATTTATTTAATAGTTTGCAAAAACTTTGTTCAACTAAATTTGTGCTGAGACTTTCTTTGCAGCTCCTACACACATGCCAGTTTACTTCCCAGTTAACTGCACCTGTAGAGTGTGACAGTGACTCACGCTCACTGAGCTCCCTACACTAACTACTCCACGACCGCATCCTGTTTACAGCGGCCCCTGACAGCTGATGGCATCAGCAGATGTTAATTGGTCCGCACAACTATGCAAAGAGACAAGGGACTTTGCACCTCTCCTACGCAAGATATCATCTCCATCTGTTTAAATATTTAACAAGAACAGACTCCGATAATGATCACACTTGGGCGCAACAAAAGACAGAATGCATAAATCACGTCTCGAATGTCATTCCTCATGCTTTCAGTGAGGGGCGAAGAGGATGCGTCCTGGACTCACCTTGTGCGTAAGTAGTTGTTGGTGCACGGTCGGCACATCGCCCCCTACTGGCTTCTGCTTTTCTAGCTCCTCCCTCTTCAGCTGCAGCCAGTTGAGCAGCTCTTGTAAGGACATGTGTAAGTGTTTCCACTGATCCACACCTGCATCCAGATAGGGCCTGAGGAGTCGAATGGATGGTGAGATGCGACACTGTCAAGTGTTAAATTACAAACACCACTAGAGAGCACCATACTGTCAGACCGCAACTGAATTTTACAAAGGAAGTGCTGGATAAAGGAGAAGATTCGAGAAATCTTTGAATCTTGTATTTGAATATGCATGAACATTAAAAAAGCTTTTACCAGCTCTGTCTTTTACCAAGGCAAATGTGGTTCTAGGAGTTGCTATTTAGCACTAATGGAACTCAAATTTGCATTCAAACATCATGAATTCAGACCTTATGTGAAAGTATTGCAGATTCTGTCTGGATAAAAATTGCTGACTTGAAAGCAAAACTAAAATATTTTTACATTTGCTGGACATATGAGTGGTGCAAAACACACCAACATGATGCTAAGTTGTTGACACGGTGTTATACATACAAAATAATTATAAAAATAAGACAGAACTACAGTATATTACAGTTGTAAATTATAATTTAATGACACTTTGGAAAATGTATAGGTGTTTGTGAATGAAAATAAAAATACTCATAATTTTAATTATGATTATTATTAGTAGTAGCAATATGTTCTAACTATTAAAACAAATAAATATAAAATATTGAATGATAAATATTACAAAAATAAGACAGAAATATATTACAGTTGTAAATTATAATTATTTAATGACACTTTTGAAAGTTTATGGGTCTTTATTAATGATAATAATAAAAATATTCATAATTAGATTAAGTAGTAGTAGTAGTAGTAGTGTTTTAACGATTAAAACAAATATTATAATACATAAATAATATATTATAAATAAATATAAAGACAAATATAATATAGTTGTAAATAACAATGTAAAATGTAATTACATTTAAAAAAAATATTACAATAGACAAAGTTATTTTCAATATTAGTGTTTACTGTATTTTTTAGCACATAAATGCAGCCATGGTGAGCATAAGAGACTTCATTAAAACATTTCAAAATCCAACTTTTGACAGATATTGTGTGTGTGTGTGTGTATATATATATATATATATATATATATATATATATATATATATATATATATATATATATATATGCATACACTGTATATATGCACACACAAAAATAATAATTCATTCATCATTAATTTCTGTAATGCAAATTATCCAGGCAAATAACACGTCAAATAATAATATTTAATGTTAGGGAAACCTTGCCTTGCAAGCAGGACTAAAAATATGCCGGCTTATACTTTATATTTAAAGTCAAATAAATGCAATGGTTTGCACATAGTATTACACAGGCCTGGGGCTTATATATGATTACATTATTTTTCAAAGCCCGTTTCTGCTCAGCGTGAATTTTTCCCGGGTTAAATATAGATGATTAATTTGTCTTACCTTATACTCATAACTTTGTTACACAACTCATGCCACCGATGCCCCATGTCATCAAGCCGTTTTTGTAGCACCACGGCATTGTCTGTTCCCTCCAGAGATGACACGATACGCTGTCCGTTTTCATCTAATGAATGGTACATCTCCCGGTGGGCATCAATCTCTGCCTGGAGATCCTGCAAGGATTAAAAGAGATCACAGACATCCAATGTGATTAGGGATAAAGAAAGAGTTTCTTTTACTTCTCATGATACTTGTTACATCTACTGTGTACATGCTAACAAGATATACTTTTGGAACATGTTCTGCTCTAATCGAATATAACATGCCACAGTAATAGTCATGTTGTAAATTATTTTAAACGGGAACACTTGCATTGCATTGAATAAAATAAAATAAAAATTAAGTGTTATTTTAGTATCATTTTTAAAAAATATATTTTAGTTAGTTTTAATTTTTGTATTTTCCATTGTCATTTTAATTTTAGTTGAAGTTTTAGTAATTTTGTTGTTTTATAATTTGTATTACATACCATTTAAAAAAAATGTCTATATAGTTTTTATACATTTTTATTCTTGTTTTAGTCATTTAGAACATCAAGTTGAACTAAATGTAAATGAGAAATGTTGCTTTATTTAATTTCAGGTAACAAAAAATTTGTTTTAGTTTTAGTCAATTACAATAACCCTGAATATACTATAATATAAAATAATATGAATATGATATAATATAATATATACCTTAAAATCTTGATATTGATTTAAAGACAAAATCAAGAGTCAATAATAGTTTCAGATGTTATCACTGCTCTCATTAATTAAAAATTGCATTTTTAGACAAATCTGAGTATTTTACGTATTTTAGTAGTAACGTAAGTCAGCAGCATTTCAAAATTCATGTGCTTTAAATGTAAATCCATTTTATCACCATATTTCACAAATCACCATGTATTGATACATTCAAATACTTTTTTCTTTTTTTCCATTATTTGAGAATAGATGAATGGAATACCGTTAACAAACCAACAAATGCATTTTCTCTGACAACATTTTAAGTGTTTGTTCCCATAGTTTGAGATGGCACAAACCAATTTCATTCAAAGTCATGATGCAAGCCAAACAAATCCAAAGTCACGAAGCAACCGTGAAGATCAAACCTTAACATGATACGTCTTCCTGTGCAACATATCCAATGAACGAGCGACATCAAATGAATGGAAAACAGCCCGTCTGACTGTCTGCAGTGACAATCCTTTAATTCCCCACCATGTGGACGTGTCTGACGCGAGGCGAAAACGAGGGAGAAAGGGACACCGTGAGGATGAGAGCGAGGAAATGTATTCTGCAACCATGTGTCTACATGCGATGTGAAACGAGCTGCAGAATGCCAGTCGCGGAGGCACACTGGCCCTGTTGTTTGAGACGCGAGTGGGCACTGCGAGCAAGGAATGGGTCAGAGCTGGTTTTCTGGGAGAACAGAGGCTTCTCTTCATAGCCCACGTCTTTGTCTGCCTCTTCATATTTAACTGCGTCTCTGCACCGTTGCCAAATGCACATATCTCCCATACCAGTGAGCAGCGGGCGACCTGGACAATGGACCCGTCAGTTTACTCTGCTTTCCTAATAAATAACACTTAAACTCCTGAGAGCTGATAATGGGAATGGAGTTTAACATTATTTACTCTTCAGTAATACTGTTATGGTGTTTATGTCCTAAAACCCCAGAAAAACAGAACCGCATCAAACACTACTCTGTACAACTGTTTAAATCTAAGGAGGAGTGCTGTCCTGAATGCAGAAAAGCTGCAGGCGGATAACGTTATAAAATGTTTTAGAAAAGTGTGTATGTATACTTAAAATTATATATTTTTTTATATTAGTCACAGATGTCTGTGATAGTGAAAATTTGCGCTAAATTGCTAATCCGCTTTGATTTTAATAAAGAGTGAACACTGAGTAGGTTTCCCGAATGGGGTTCATGAGGAAACTGCAGGGTGTTTGCGAGTTGATGAAAAGCAAATTAATTATATTGAATGGAAAACTTAAATAAATAAATAAATAAATGGGGCTGCATGAGGCGATTATCAAATCAAAGGCTTCAATTCAATGAATTAACTGTATAGTCTGATGTAATAATAATAATTAATAATAATTATTATTTAATAATAATTAATAATATTATTATTATAGTCTGATGTGCTGCATGATTCACAGTGAATTATTATAATTATAAAATATTATCAAAGTTTTATTTTACAGTACATTTGTAATTTACAACAGTAATATATTTCTGTCTTTATTTATAAATATTTAAAAAAATGTAATAATAGTTAAAACTATAGTTATAAAATAATAGTTACTAATAATACAGAGTTAAAAATAACAATTAAAATTATTATTATTCGACATCAGAGAATCTCCAAATGTATTGTTCAATTATTGTAATTTACAACTATAATATATTTGTCTTTTTAATAATTTGTTTATTATTTTTGCATTTTTTTTAGAATAGTTAAAATATTCTACTACTAATAATAATCTCAATTACAACTTGTATTATTATTATTCGTAGTAGTATTAGTAGAATTGACATTACAGAACCGTGAACATTCAAATGTGTTGTTAAATTATTATAATTTATAACTGTGTAATTCTGTCTTTTTAATTTTTAGAATTATTTTATAAATAATAGTTCAAACATACTACTACTATTACTAATAACATTAAATAATTACAATTATTTATCTTTTTTAAATTATTATAATTATTATTATCGGAGAACCGTAAACATTCAAATGTGTTGGTCAATTACTGAAATAATAACTTAAAATCTCCGGGGGTACTTCAACAAAATATTTTATGTCTAAGAGGACTGACAAAAACAAAAACAAAAAACTGGAAAGCCTGGAGTAGGGTTTCTCTCATCAATGCATGTGGGTAGCAGGAAATGTAAAAGCTGGACTGGAGCTGGAACAGGGTGCCTGAATTATTTAAACAAAGAGAGAAAATTGCTGTGATTTGGAAATACCGATTACCTGCCATTGCTCAAGTAAATGCCGCACTGTGGCAGGGTTTTCCAGAAGTCCCTCCTTAAACGTGGCATCTTGTAAGACATTGGCTGTGGTTTCTGCTTCAGTTAGCCAATTAAGGAATTTCTCCAGGTCCAAGTAGAAATGCTGCAACTGTCGCAGTCCGGCTTCCAGATCTGCCTCCTTGTCCCCTGCACTGAAAGGGAAATTACTTCATTATTATATAGAAACAAGGCTAAATTAAGTAGTACCTTAATATACTTCTTAAACATTTAATACATGTTATTATTAGATTGTTAAATCTGGTGGTATCAAATGCTTTAAACATCAAACCACAGAATCTTGAATGGCACTCAATTCTCCTGAAAGCAATTGCACCTTTGAAATAACCTCTTATGCACCCTCACTGTGTCAGCAGTGCATTATTTTCAGACTCAACAATACCACAAATACCTCCTTTCAGGGAGAATGTTATTATATGTCATTCCACTAGTGCAGGAGTAGGCAAGTTCGGTCCTAGAGAGCCGCAGTCCTGCAGAGTTCAGCTCCAACCCTGAAAAAAAACTCACCTGCCTATAGCCTTAGTAATCCTGAAGACATTGATTAGCTTGTTCAGGTGTGTTTGATTAGAGTTGGAGCTGAACTCTGCAGGACTGCGCCGAACTTGCCTACCCCTGCACTAGTTGGTGATACTGAAAAATCAAAGATTTAAACAAAAGCTCACCGCTTTTTGATGTTGGCCCAAGCTAGATCCATGCTCTCAGTCATTTGTTTAACTTTGCTTGTGTCATCGTCTGCATAAAGGGTCAGTAGTTTGTTTGCTAGCTCATTGGTGACATTCATCTGAGCTTGCCCCTGCTGGATATCCTTAGAAAGTTGCTGCAATATAATAATACAGCATTTATTTGTAGTAATCAAATCACATGCATTCATCTGCAGTTCATTCAAGGAACACAAGCACACCGACTCGAGTTTATTTCAGTTTCTCGCTTGTGTTCTCTCATGAAATAGATATTGTGTTCATTCTACATTACCTTGACATCTGCATTTTGGCCTTTTAAATCATCAGCACTGTGAGAAACCTTTTTCCAGCTCTCCAGTTTTTCATTGGCTTTCTTAATGAGAGGCTCCACCCTTTTTCTGGCCTCCAGCCAATCGCTGGAGTCCTTATACATTTTCTGCAGTTGAAGGACCCTGTCCGTCAGCTTGGCGTGGGAATCTTCCCAGTGTGCCTGTAATTTTTCAACTTGAAATAAAAGATAGAAAGTTTCTAAAAAACAAGTCTGAAAATCATAGACATAATTCATATAATGGTTTATTTATTTATTATAAATAATTTTTGAATGAATAAATAAATTGATTGATTGGTTGATTGATTGAAAGACTGATTGTTTTTCACAACCAAATATAATGCCATTGTTTAAAAACATTTTTACTTTTTACATTTTATTTCCGAAAAAAAACAAAAAATTGTGGCCATACAACATTTTCTTTCTTTCTTTTTCTTTTCTTTTTTTAAGTATGAGCAACAAGATGTTACACCAGATATTACATTTTTTTTTTTAAATAAATCCAAACGCTTAAACTCTTTTGTCTTACAGTATATTGTAGTTTGTGTTCAATAGTGTTGTCTTATAACACTATATGACCTTGAGATGCCTGTTAAGACACAATCCTTGCCAACAGTCATTGTTTACTTTCTGCACTACTTCTGAGATTTAGTTTTCCATCAAGCCGTAACAATGTTAGGACCTTCATATCACCACAAATACAGTGTATCGCTGAGAGAGAATATGGATATGGATGAGGCAAAGCTGACTTACTGCGGTCTGTAATGGTTGCCCGTGTCTCAGGGTTATTGGTTTTGTTCTTCAGGTTCTGAGCCGCAGTGATTTGTTTGTTCAGCTGTGGGCATCTCTGCTCCATGTCTTGCAGTGTTGACTGTTAAATCACAGCAGAGAATTCTTTTACTACAGAGTTGTGTGGGATCTTGTGGTCTCATAAGGCCACTATGTGAGGTAAAAGAGCCATACTGTGTATTTTTTGTATTATGTTAGTACAACAAATATATTTTGGTGATATTGCTGGTGATTATATTGGTTTATAGTTTTATATTATATTGGTGATTACATTAGTAATAATAATTTTACTAGGGCTGTCAATTTAACATGTTAATTTGGTGTGATTAAATATGGAAAAAACGTTTGTACCAGTAACGTTACAATTTTTAAGTCATCTCACATTGCATGCAGTTGCTGATGATCATGATACAGAACGACTGACTGTGTGACTGAATGTAACCTATTAGAATGCAGTTATGTGAGCTTAAAATTCAAGACATGGGAGCAACAAAAAAAAATCAATATTCAATATATTATTATTTTTTTTTTCCCTTTAAAACCCATAAATCTCACAGCATTATTTAGGCAAGTCTAAATACTGTCTGTGTAAATATACCTAAATGATTATGCTAACACTGTAGCCTAAAAAGTTTTTGTAATATCTATCCAATGCTTTTCTCATTTAACACAATAATGACTTAATATCTAATAATAATATAACATAATAATTACTTAAAAATACAACATTACAATATTATATTGCAATTTAAATAATTAAATTATTCAATAATGTTTTTTATTTTTTTAATTGTTTACATTTTTTTTATTTGCCACTATCCTAGGTTTTGCCCATTTCTCAGTAAGAAGTTTTACTAATTTAAAACACAATAAAATGTTATATGCTCCCTTATTCTTTTATATATTTTAATATGTACAAGTCAGAATAAGCATGTTGTTTGAATTTTTACATAAATATTGTGTTACACTGAATGACAATGTAACATTATTTCAACCAAATTTTAACATTTTATCCTCCAAAAACTTATTTGAAACCTTAAAAGTAGACACTTTACTTACATTTAATGTGCTTTCTATGGACATACCGTATAATCAATTTTGTACATTTCTTTTGATGCGCACATCTTAACGTCTTTGACCCATATACTGTATATATATATATATATATATGTGTGTGTGTGTATACTGTATATATATATATATGTGTGTGTGTGTGTGTGTTAGTGCTGGCAACGATTAAAATTTTATTTTAAATCGCGAATAATTGCATGATTTTCTGCGATTAATCACATTGTTACGCACAAAATTCCATAATGAATTCAAAAGTAGTGTGTATTGTGCACTTTTTCCATTAAAAGTACTACTATATGAACAAAAGTGCAATAACATTTGGTTTGCAAACACTTTAAACAAATTTTACAGCAGTATTCCTTTTGAATAGTAGCAGTTAAAATATTTCTTGTAAATCTCAACTTATAACATGAATGTAATCAAATTTAAATATAAAACCAAAGCTATTTGTCACTGCCAGGGCATTAACGTTTTTATAGAAAATATTTTATAGTTTGTTATAGAAAAACAAGTTATGCTCAGAGTCCAGAGCCTCGATCATAACATTATAACAGGCACCTTAGAGACCTGAAATCGCGGGACCTAACGCAGCAGAGTGCGACGCGGGACAACACTTGGGCGGGTAGACACTCGTGTGTGCGGTGATGCGGGAGAATACGGGTGTACTCACACTAGGCAATCTTAACCTGTATGTGTATTCAGAGCCAGTGAGCAATGGACAATAATAAAAAAAACTGCATTAATGTACGATAAAATAATTGTCGGCGTTAATCAATTAATGCATTAATGCAATAATAACACGTTAACTTGCCCAGTCCTAATATATATATATATATATATATATAAAACACACACATACCCTGTATGTGTATTCAGAGCCAGTGAGCAATGGACAATAATAAAAAAAACTGCATTAATGTACGATAAAATAATTGTCGGCGTTAATCAATTAATGCATTAATGGAATAATAACACGTTAACTTGCCCAGTCCTAATATATATATATATATATAAAACACACACATACACACACACACCACACACCCACAAACACAATATGTACCAACCACAATTAAATTTTTAAACACCATTTTCTGTTTAATTAACGGCCTATTTTTAATGCTGTGCCTTTAAGACTTGAGTGTTTAAATGCCATCTTCAAGGTTCTTCATCTTAATTATTTTTGCAGCTCAATTGAACAGTATTTCCCTTGAATGAATACCTTAAAGGGGTCATATGATTTTTTAAAGATCATTATTTTGTGTATTTGGTGTAACAGAATATGTTGACATGCTTTAATGTTCAAAAAACACATTATTTTTCAAATACTGTACATTATTGTAGGTCCTCTATGCCCCGCCTCTCTCAAACGCTTCGTTTTCTACAAAGTCCCTCCTTCTGACAAGCGCAGTCTGCTCTGATTGGCCAGCTGGCCAGTGCATTGTGACTGGCCGAACACCGCAAGCACTCATCGGAAATGTAACGCCCCTTACCATGATCGCGAGCTTCATCTTTCAAAATAAATGTAAAGACAGTAAATAATGTCATTAGTTTTACCATCAGTTCAAGCCCGAAAGGGGAACAGAGTCGCGTGACAGACACAGTAATGATGCAGTACACAAGCCGCGGTTAAGACAGCTGACTTCACTGTGATGTGATGTGATGCTGTCTCTCTCTCTCTCTCTCACACACACACACACACACACGATGCGCAAAACTCCGCATTTGAATAGTCAATAGCAAATACTTAAACTAATAACAAAACAGTAGCTGATTCAGAAGCGCCAGATTGTCATAGCAAAGTCAGAATTACCTCCTCTCCTAGGTTCACGAAACGGTCGTCCATAAAATGCATTGCTGTTCTGTTGTAAGTAATCTTAAAGATTCCTAAATGCATCTACTTCCGGAAGGCCAAATAAAGTGATTTTGCTTTCGCCTAGAAACACACAGCGTCTCCCTGACATGGCTGCTTCAACACTAACTGCAGTTACTGAAACCACGCCTTCTTTCTTTGCGTGCACATTTGGGCGCATTATGCAAATATTCCCACATAGTGAGGTAGATATGTGGGGGCGTGTTAGAATGAGCTGTTTTAGGGGGGCGTGGCAGAGTCTTAACTTTGATAAAGAATATCTCTTTGGTTTTGAGACTTTAGTCTTTGCAACTTCAGGGATCTTATCTATGCACAATCAGCTTGTAACACTCCAAAGAGAAAGGAAAACTTGAAATCGCATCATATGACCCCTTTAACTAATAATAATAATAATAAGGTTTAGTCTGCTGCTAATTTTAAATGTGAAAAGGCTAGCCAATCATAACAGAGGTCATTAACATTTACTGTACAGCCTGTGCAATTCTAAGGGTCATAGAAAGGGTGGAAGTTCGTTAAATTTTTGGTAAAACTAAATTCTCTTTGCTGCTTTAGGGAGTATGGAGAAAAGATGAAATGCTGCCCCTGCAGGACAGTAAACAAAGTATTTTACCATGGAAATGGAATAAGAGCTGCAAGCTGACATCACAATCTGACCTTGAGTTTCACCGTCATTTCGTTGATCTTGTCAAGATCTCCGACCATTACTCTCTGAGTCTGGACCATGTGATCCAAAAGAGTGAGCCAATCATCAAGCTCCATCCAGGATTTATTGAATTTATCAAGGGCTGCATCTCCTGCTGCACTACCAGTCAAAGTTACGGCTAGAAAGTAACAAATGATCTTTTGTTCAGACTTTCAGACGTCCAAAATCACATAAGCAACATGAGATGTGCGTGAATTTTAATAGCATATTATTGTAGCTTCAATCATCACACATTATGCGATTTCATACCTGCGAGCTGACATTTGTCTCGCCAGTCTTTAAGGAGAACTTGAATGGATGTCCAATCTGCACTGAGGCCATCAAATTGCCCCTGGAATACATCAATCCAGGAGAATTATATTAAATAAAGTTTAATGCCATGAAGCTGATAGACTGATATATTACATTACAGTACAGCGATGGTAGATACTACTGGGAAGTGTGCAGAGTAATCTAATATCATAGTCATAGCGTTTCTAAGATCATATTTAATAATTTCATGGTCGATTAAACACCTTCTCCAGTTGGCATGGTGGTCTCTCTTTCGCCAAAACGGCTTCCACTGCTGGTTTCTTTTCCTTTACATCCTCCTCAATCTACACAAAATAAAAATAAATGAACAACAACCCTCATTAAACGAGCAATCTAGTCCAGGTCACATGTCACTCCAAAATCAAAAGGGGGAAAAAAGAAGAAGAATTAATTGATTTTGGGGGAGAAATACCCTTAACTATGAAAAGGAGCAATAGTAATAGTCATGCTTGCCTTGCCAAGCACCACTAACAAGAAAAAAACAAAACAAAAAAAAAGTATAAAGAAACAGCATGCAGCAATGTGCAAATCATAATAAACTTGAGTACAGCCAAATCAGAGTAAACCAGCCACAAACAATTCAAAACTACTTAAGTACAGATGTACTGCTACAAATTTGAGAGATTGTGTAAAATAAGACCAATGAGTTGGTGACAGTTAAATAATATTATTTTTCTTTTCCCTAAAGACCCTGACCGGCAAAGCAATGGGTCATTAAAAAAGTTCAATCAGACTTTTATAATAGAGTACAACATTAAAGTTTCCTTAATCTTTGAAAACACCTTGTTGATGAATGAAGCGATCAAATAAGCAATGTGATGGTTGCCAGCCATGAGCCTCTACCACTACACCACACCAGGCTAAATATTATTGCCTAAAGTTGAAGTAAGACAGAAAGCTGTATTATGAAACAGCAAGACTGTGGGTAGTGTGTTCTACATATGTGCTTGATCCCGTCTGTGAGATTACCTTTGGGTCCACTGCAGTAGGGGACTGCTCAAGCTGATTCTTTGTAGTGGAGGCCCAAATTGAGAGCTTGGAGAGCTGTTCCTGGTATAAAGACAAATCCCTCAGGAGATCCTCGATTTGTCGCTGCTTCTCAGGAAGAACAGTGGACACCTTTGGAATAGAGAAAGAAACATTTAAAGTTCTTTGCAGTAAATCACTGCAGGAGGGAATCTTTCTAGAACATGTCCAGGTGATATTTTACACCAAAATCAAGAGATATTGAAATATGAAAAATAAGAGTTAAAAATAAATAGTATTTTTCATAAAGAACAGAACGCTTATTTTTAGGACCATTATCACTTTTTGCGTTGTTTTCATGACATTTTCATTTTTTTTTTCTTTTTTATTAAAGGGGAAATTTGAACCCATACAGTATTTGGAAGTCACTAAAGTCACATTTTAAAATATATGAATTGCACTTGTCTTAACAACATAACTGCTTAAACAAAATATCAAAAAAAGGGGAAAAGTATCATACTATTACACTGTAAAAACACTGTAACAGAAGATTTTTGGAGTAACTTTTTCAGTCTTTCCACTTAAATTCACTGTGTGTTACTTGCTGTTTTTGTAATTAATTGTGAAATTTACTAGCAATTTCTGAGCGGATTATTTTTTTCAGTGTAATCACACTTTAAAATGTATTAATTTCACTGTATCAACAAAATAGTAAAAAAAAAAA